TATTCTGCTCCGAACTGGGCTAATGATGACAGGCATACGCCTTACCCGGACAGCGGCACTATGACTTACTCTTATATCGAATTCCATGCTCTTCAATGTGCACACAGGACTTTGTTTTTCCATCCCATCCAAATGACTAGACAGATGTCCTTGTCAGGCCCTCCATCCTGCATCACTGACAAGGGGGAACCACGCTGGAAAATCTGGATGAACTTTCTCGGCCAATGCAGGGATCGAACACCCGACCTCCAGGCTAGCAAAGCCAGCAGCTTACCCACTTAGCCACTGTGACACCACAAACAAAATGAAATGGAGTTTTAACATCCTACTATTGGTACTAATCAGACTAATGTTAGTCCCGAAATGACCTGGTTTGTGTCTAGCGGACGCTAAAAGTATCTTAAAAACACAAGAAAGAAAGAAATGGGGTTTAACTTCCACTCGACACAAACCAGGCCATCCTGGTACCAACATATGGTTCAATATTATTTCAATAATTCGCTTGTGTGTAGGGGTCTTTAACAGTGGGTGGAAACCGGAGGACACAGAAAAAACCACTGAGATTGGACAGGCGTCCCTAATCTTTGTCACGTACAACTGGGGAATCGAAACCAGGCCAGTACTCAATGACAGACCTTATGATACAACGTGCATGCGCTAACCATTCGCCCCCCCCCCCATCTTAAAACATCATAATTTTCATGTTTTAATTCCATACATCCTGACAAATGTTATAAATTTGATAATTTCCTTCTTAGTTTCGATGAATTATATGATTATCTTTTTCCATGCATCCTAAAATGTCATTAAAAAATGATTTCCTTCTTAGTTTCGATGAATTACATGATTATCTTGAAGGGTACCGGGTCTATTCAGGACTTAATATATTGTATATTTTTATTTCAATAGTTTCCTTGTATGCAATTGTCTTTAGCAGGGGAGCCACAGTGGCTAAGTGGGTAAGACTGGCTAGCTAGCCTGTAGGTTGCATGTTCGATCCCTGCATTGGCCGAGAAAGTCCATTATGATTTTCCGGCGTGGTTCCCCCTTGTCAGAGTGGTGCAGGACGGAGGGCCTGACAAGGACAGCTGTGTAGTTGTTCGGATAGGATGGAAAAAGAGGTCCCGTAAAAGATCCCTTGGCAGTTGGAATTCGATATAAGAGTAGGTCATAGTGCCGCTGCCCAGGCAAAGTTTCCCCCATAGCACACTGTATGGCGTATACATGTCTTCATTAGCCCAGTCGGAGCAGAACAGTAAGACATTAAACCCCATTTCATTTCATTTCATGTCTTTAGCGGTGTGAGGAAACTTGAAAACCATAATAAACTAGCATACATAACAGACATTCATACGTTCTCGCTCGTCAACAGGTTAGCGTGCCAATGTCTTACTCATTCATAGTCAGTGAGCCACCTTGGTTCCCCAGGAATATGACAGACATTTTTCGATCTCCAGAAAATTGGACACTTATTATCAAAATTAAATGGTCAGCTTTAAACTGGACACAAGTACAAATTAGATGATTTTCGGTTATTTGAAACCCTATTTAAACAAAGTTTTGATATTGAATGAATGTGAAAGAAATTAGTGCTAAATACACAAGATTGAATGATACCCAGATTACAGTGTTATGATCTCCAGTACTAGTGTTAGAAACCCCACCCCACCACACGTCCACAACAGAATGTCTTTTTATAACTGGTACTTTGGTGATAACTAAAAACAAACTCCACCTTCTTGAAGTGGTTTATTAGACTCGGAGTCCTCTACCTAAGTTGATAACGGTATTATAGAGGCGTAACCCCTGGTAACTGTAGACATAATAAGGCAGTAACGTTAATAATATAATTGTTAATGAGATAGATTGATCTATCTTGATTACTGTAAAAGATAGGGTGGGGTGGGTCGGGCAGATCAATCGGGGAAATAGAAATGGGGTTTAACATCCTACCATTCTGCTCCGACTGGGCTAATGAATACGGGCATACGCCATGCAGTGTGCTATGAGAAAAAATTTAGTCCTTATATCAAATTCCAACTGCCAAGGGATCTCTTACGTGCACATCAATGTGTACATTATGGGACCTTTGTTTTTCATCAAATCCGAACAACTAGACAGCTGTTATTCTTGTCAACGGCCCTCTGTCCTGTACAACTGCCAAGGGGATATCACGATGGAAAATCCTGATAAACTGATCAATTGGGGATTGACCTATTGATCATTTTTATTTAACTAATACGCTTTCACACTGGGGTCTGTATATCATATTAGACCAGGTGGCAAACCACTCAGCCATCATACAGTTGTTACAGACTTGATTGATCAAATGGGATCAGACTGGACCATGTGAAAGAGAGAAAATCTGACCTCCATTCCACACTGAGGAACCCGGTTCATGTTGGGATCAACATTAATTAACTTAATTAGCCCAGTTGGTACACAACAATAGGACAATAAACCCCATTTCGTTTAAACAAAACGTTTGGGTAAAATGCTCACAAATGCAAAATGTCCATCTTGATTCTAATTCTGGAACCTGGTCCAAAGCTTTAGACAGTATTCCTCCCACACATGGGTGTTAGATGGCCGAATGGTTAGCATGTGTGCATTGTATCGTAAGGCCTGTCATTGAGTCAACTGGCATAGTATGGATTCCCCGGTCGTATGTGACAAGGAGTAGGGTCACCTGTCCAACCTTAAGTAGGATTTCTCTGGGTCCGACGTTTTCCTCCCACTGCTAAAGACCCCTACATGCAAGCGAATTATTGAAATAAAATTGAACCATGTGTTAGTCCCAAAATGACCTAGTTTGTGTCGAGGGGACATTAAAACCCATTTCTCTTTCTCTCTCCTCCCACACTGTCAAACTAAACAAATTACACTAAAACTATGTACAGCTATAAAACCGGCCCTTGGAGCCTTTCTTTGATGGCACCGGTAGGAAATACTTTGATGGTTGTCACCCATTTATTAGTGATATATATACATCTAGTATATGTTTGTATTCTTATTTCAATACTCAACATCAAAATATCCTACAAGGTCAAAATGTGTTATTTCAATAGGTCATAGTACAAACATTACATGTCTCTATATATGAAGTTGAGGTCAGTTTATTTACTGGACAATATTCCCCATTACATACTGTCCGTCTTCATTAGTCTATTTGGTGCAGTCAGGTACGATATTGAATCCGATTTCATTTTATTTCATTCAATTTATATAAGATTTGTCAAAGATGGTGGGGGTGGCTTAAAATCCACTCAACACAAACTAGGTCATTTTAGGGTTAAGCATTAGGTACAATTTTATTTAGATAAATCGCTTGCGTGTAGGGGTCTTTAACAGTGGAAGGAAACCAGAGAAAGCTCACGCGGTTGGACAGGCGACACTACTCCTGGTCACGTACAAGTGTAGGATAGAAACTTAATGACAGACCTTATGATATAATATTCACACTCGAACCCCTTACTAGTTTAAGACGATCAAAAAAACAAGTGTTAAAAGGTTAAGACTGAACCATTGGTTTTAACAATAGTGTTGGATATGTAGAACTCATTCCATTTGGGATGATGAATGTTCCACTCTCTTTTCAGCACTGCATGTCATTATGACTATCTGACAAAATTTATATTTAAATTTAGTTATTACCAATACCAATATGTTCTCTTCTAGAAAAGCTCATTTGATTTCCCTCTTGGAATGACCAAATCCCCAGAGGTGTTTTCAGTAAATAAAATGAATGTAAATTGCATGTTCTAATATCGTTAATTTCAAATATTTATATTGATCCTTTATTTCTGTACTTTAGGTAAATTAAACAGATGTTTTATTAGCTCATGCATAAATACTTTAATTTCTGTTATTTCCATAATAAATTAAAACTCTGTGAATGATTTTAGCCAGCTGCAACATTGTGAAATGAAATGAAATGAGTTTTTATGTCCTACTCGTAAATGACCATTCAATTTGATGAAAGTTAGAGTATTTGTTACACTATGGCCGACTCTTATATGAATTCCAACTGCCAAGGGATCTTTTATGTGCACTCCAATGTGTACGCAGGACCTTGTTTTTTGTTCCATCCGAACCAACATTGTGAAAGAGAGAGATAGAGATGGGGTTTAACATCCACTTGACACAAATTAGGTCATTTCGATACTAACACATGGTTAATTTTTATTTCAATAATTCGCTTGCACATAGGTGGGAGAAAACCAGAGGACCCGGAGAAAACCCACGAGGTTGGACAGGTGACCCTACTCCTCAATATTGTGAAAGTTGGATCCCTAATAGGAATATCAGTCAAAAAAAGGGGATCAATTACGTTCAGTATTTCCAAAGACAAGTCAAATTAAAACTCTACCCTTCTATGCTACTCCGTATGTAAAACGAGGGAAGCCATCTTAATTTGCTATGAAACAGATTAAATCCTACTGCGATTATCTAATGTCGATAGTTAGATTTTTTCTTAATCAAATGTTAAATGACGATGAGAAGTTTGGTTTGATGTTTTCAGAAAAATGCAATTCACTCACCGTTACTTTAAATGCTTTATAAACACAACAAAATCTCAAACATATTCCCCCCTTCCCTCCCACCTCCCTGCACCCCCCCCCACTCCCTGCAAACCCTCCCAACTAAAATATAAATGCAAATCCTTCACATGTTCACCGATCCTTGTCCTAAATTCTAGCCGTGTACTGTATGCTCGTAATATTCATTCAAATAAAAAAGCTTCTTTTTTTCGGTCTACCATAAATATTTAAATCAAACAAGCTAATTCTTTTCCTTCCACAATCAATTCAATAGAAAAAAACTTAAATAGTCTCTTTTCTTGAAAATCAAAAAAAATAACCAAAAAAACCCCAGAACACCACTACAGATCCTTCTGTGGTGGGAGGTGCCTTATTCTAGTAATGACCAATCATTGTGTGCTATTGTCTTACTTAAATGCAATAAAATGAAATAAAGAGTTTAGTTGGCTGTAAGGAGGCTGTTTCTCTATATTATTATTATTAAGTCTAGAGTTATACCAGCTACCAGTAGTCTCAAGTTGGTATTACACACAGTGAGTCCAGTGTGAGAGATAGAGTAGTGTGTGGGCTTGGTTATCTAACACTGCATATAGAACAGCTAGTGTTTGTGAGCACCCTCAGTTAAACTGTAACAAGTGAATGAGTGTGTTGCTTCAAGATTATCTGCTATAGTTCATTACAGAAACTACTTGCAACAGTCACAGAATTAGCTGTTAGACAAACTTCACTGAGAGGATGGTGGAATAAATCTATCAGGTTAGTACAAATAAATTTAGATATTTAAGTTTTCAATATTACGAAATCAGATTTTATTTTTGATTGGTTTTATAAGATATCTTTTGTGGTTTGTCAGAGAATTTCACCAAAGGAAATATTATTCAAGTAGCATTTGTTTCGATATTTTCCAGAAAAAATTCTATTTAACTTGAATTTTCGTTCATGTCAAATCATTAAAAGAAATCAAGTGGAACAATATTGATCACTGACGGTGGAACAATCTTACTCACTAACAAGTGTTTGGTTAAAAAAAATTCCAGAAAATTTAATTATTTTTGATCTATCCACTTTACTTGAAATTTCATTCATTTCAAAGTTTAGTGGAATAATTTGAACCACTGACAAAAATTTGGTTAAACATTTTAAAAAATATTGTTATTCACCTTTCCACTTGACTTTCATTTCCTTCATTTCAAATCATTAAATAAAATTTAGTGAAATAAATTGAATCGCTGAAAAAAGTTGTGTTCTAAAACAATTTCCACAAATAAAACTTATTTAGCTTTCTACTTAACTTTAATTTTCCGTTTATTTCAAATCATTAAATGTAGTTCAGTGGAGTAATTTGAATCACTGAAAAAAGTTTAAATTTTTTTTTTTTTTTTTTTTGGTGAAAAGTAATTTTCGATGTCAGTACTTTTATATCAATGAAAGATTAGAAAATTGAGTAATAACGCGTTTTCGTCAAATCTTTTAAAGAGAGAGAGAGAGAAATGGGGTTTAATGTTAACTCAACACAAACTAGGTCATTTCGGGACTAACATATGGTTTAATTTTATTTCAATAACTTGCTTGCGCATAGGGGTCTTTAGCAGTGGGAGGAAACCAGAGGACCCAGAGAAAACCCACGAGGTTGGACAGGCGACCCTACTCCTTGTCACTTACAACCAAGGAATAAAAACCACGCCAGCTGACTCAATGACAGACTTTATGATACAGTGCGCACACGCTAACCATTTAGCCATCCAACCCTCCTCACATCTTTCAAGTGAAAAAGTGTGATTGTCTGAACCAAAAATAGACGACTGTTCTGTACACCTGTAATCATGCATCAAATTACGGGAGTTTATTTCGGTTGCTGCAGCCAACGCAAAATAGCGTACTGTTAGAAAATTTAACGATCAGATTCAGACAGAAACGGATGTTAAAATAACCGTACCAAAAAAATCATGCAATCAGTTTTCTAAAATAAGTTGAACAGTAAAAACATCCAGAGTTTCAGGAACCATTCGAAAACCTGATTAACAGATTTTAAAAGGAGCGTCAATAAATGGTTTGAGTCAGCCGTTATCTTCACTATGAAGTAATTAACTCTAAATAACACTACTTTGTTTGTACTTTCAGGATACAAAAACCCCAAACATAATAAAACAGGAGTGCCATCGGTAGGGTATTTAGACAGTAATCATTGGAACAAGTATTTCAGTTGTAGAAGATCTGTATACGATGACAGGTTGATTGAAGCACTGGGTTATTTCAAAGGTAGAATCGAAGGAATTCTGTTAATAACAAGCCAAAATAATTCTGATTAAAAGAGAACAGACACTGTTTATTTGTTGATGGAAACTTTTTGACTATTTTGGCATCTTGTAAATATCAACATCATTAACTTGGCATCCACCAGATACACGATATTTGACAACATCCAGTTTTCAAAATGGAAGCCAATTTTACTGATGAGCTGTTTGACGAGATGATGGAATCAAATATTACTTCCAGTAATTTGACAATACTTGGACAGCCAGACTACGTTCTCCACACGGAGCTTATATGTAACAGATATCTGATGCCGATTATATGTAGTATAGGAATTGTGGGAAACCTATTGAGTTTAGTTGTTCTAACGCGTCGTGAAATGGTGACAGCAACAAACTGTTTTCTCACTGGTCTTGGAGTGTCCGATCTGTGTCTGCTACTTGTTCAGATTCCTGCCTTTTTTGAGTTAAATAGTCAACTTAAACACTCACCAGAATTTCTAATAATATTTCGCCATTACGTTATATGCAGGTAAGAAAGATTTTATCATTTTTAATTTTGTGATTTAAAAAATACGATATAATTATAATAATGACATGAAATGAAATGGGGTTTAACGTCCTACTGTTCTACTCCAACTGGGCTAATGAAGACGGGCATATGCCATACAGTGTGCTATGTGGGAAATGTTGTACTATGGCCTACCCTTATATCGAATTCCTACTGCTGAGGGATCTTTTATGTGCACACCAATGTATACACAAGACCTCCATTTTTTGTCCCATCTGAATGACTAGACAGCTGACCTTGTCCAGCCCTCCATCCTGCTCTACTGACAAGGGGAAACCACGTCGGTAAATGCAGGTGAACTTTCTCGGCCAATGCAGGGATCAAACACGCGACCTCCAGGCTAGTGAGCCAGCGTCTTACCCACATAATTAAGATCAGGTCATTTCTGGGTATCCACAAATGACGGCCAGTCTTCAGAGATTATTTAAATGTCCCAGGGGTGAAAAGTGGGTAAAGGTTGGTAACTGTCTGGTTCTTGATTCGATCATAAATTCCTTGTCTTGACGATATTCAATTCAAATAATTTGACCAACTGAGAAATTGATTTGTCTGTATTTCAAACAAGTATTTGTGAAGAAATTCACCTTAAACAATACAATTCAAATAGTAAATTATTAAATGTACTTTTATAATTGCTCCTGTCTTTAGTCGTTCGGATGGGATGAAAAACCAAGTTCCCGTTTACACATTGGGGTTCACGTAAAAGTTCCCTTGGCAGTGGGAATTTGCTATGAGTAGGCGGTAGTGCTGCTGTCCAGGCAAAATTTCTTTCATAGCACACTGTATGGCATATGCCCGTCTTCATTAGCCCAGTCTGAGCAGAACAGTAGGACATTCAACCTCATTTCATTTCTTTACATTATGACTTTAAACCATATACTTATATTTCATTGAAAAATTGATCTTTTGAAATGAGAGAACGTCATACTCCATCTTTCATCGGAGTCAAGATAAAATTGTTGAGTTGGATGAAAGAAATATTTGGAATGATAATCTGTCTTACTGGAATATAACAACATATCACGTCCACAGATAAAACCTGTGTGTCTTTAACACACATAAAACCGTTAATTATAGAATTCTAAAAATAAAGACATTTGTAGGCGATGAAAAACACAAAAAAAACAGGACCTGGCAGTAGGCTTTAATTTAGTGTAGACGATTTTCATGAATTTTATGCCAAACAATTTCACATGTACAAGTCATAAAAAGGCTCAGTACTGATCTTATCACTAGATTTTAAAGGCAGATAATTTGCTCTGAAAGATTTATGAGCTGCATGGCGGCAATCCTGACAAATTGGTATCATGTAAAACAATGAAATCTGTCTTAGCCATGAATACCTAACAACCATCCTCAAACACAAGTATGTCTTGAAAGAAATGAATTGGAATTTAACATATTGTTGATATTTAATTACATCATGTCGTTTATATATCAACATACAGTTTGTTATTTCTATACCGTACAAATGAAATGAAATAGGGTTTAACGTCCTACTGTTCTGCTCCTAACCTGGGCTAATGAAGACGGGCATATGCCATACAGTGTCCTATGATGAGGGAAATTTTGCCCAGGCAGCGGCTCTACGGCCTACTCTTATATCGAATTCCAACTGCCAAAGGATCTTTTATGTATGTTTTGAGTCCCATCCGAAGGACTAGACAGCTTTCCTTGTCAGGTTCTCCGTCCTGCATCACTGACAAAGGGAAACCACGCCGGAAAATCGGGATGAACTTTCTCGGCCAATGCACTCTACACAAACTAGGTCATTTCGGGACTAACACATGGTTCAATTTTATTTTCATAATTCGCTTGCGCGTAGGGGTCTTTAGCAGTGGGAGGAAACCGGAGAAAACAAGGTTGGACAGGCGACCCTATTCCTTGTCACGTATAACCGGGGAATCGAAACCACGCCAGTTGACTCAATGACAGACTTTATGATACAGCACGCACGTGCTAACCATTCAGCCATCCAACCCCCCCCTTATATGGAACTCTTATTCCAACCGCCAGTGGATCTTTTACGACTTCGATTTTCATCCCATACGTTGTCCCTTGCCAGGCCCGCGGTCCTGCACCACTGACAAGGTGGAACCATGCCGGAAAATCCTTATAAACTTTTCGGCCAATGCAGGGATCGAACACGTGACCAACAGGTTCACGAACCAACGTTTTACCAATTGAGTCACTTTGGCTTCCTTTTAAACATAAGATTATGTCTCATTTACAATCGGAGATCACGTCTTTAAGTGGGTAAGACACTGGCTCGCTAGCCTGGAGGTCGGGTGTTCGATCCCTGCATTGGCCGAGAAAGTTCATCCTGATTTTCCGGCGTGATTCCCCCTTGTCAGTGATGCAGGACGGAGGGCCTGACAAGAACAGCGGTCTAGTCCTTCTGATGAGACGAAAAACCGAGGTCCCGTGTATACATTGGAATGCACGTAAAAGATCCCTTGGCAGTTGGAATTCGATATAAGAGTAGGCGATACTGCCGCTGCCCGGGCAAAATTTCCCTCATAGCACACTGTATGGCGTATGGCCGTCTTCATTAGCCCAGCATAGGAGCAGAACAGTAGGACGTTAAACCCTATTTCATTTCATTTCCTTTCTCATTTACAATCAGTTTTTAAAGATACATTATGTAAGATTTAGATAAAGAGCTGGCCATTCTTACTATAATAGTTTGAAAATGGATAATACAAAATGAATGTATTGAAAATTTCATTCAAATTTCTCCATTGCGAGTGAAGATATTTGCTTTTGAAGGTTTGACCAGATGTGTGCATTAAAGCGACAATTTCATATTTTTAAGTTATATTTTTAAAATGTATTAAAATAAAGCCTTAAAATAGATGGTATCTATAAACAGTCCTACCTTGTTAAAGAATAATCCTATTAATCCTATAATTCACTATATTGCCAGTTGAGAAATTGGCAAAAATATATTTTTCAACTTCAAATTCAAACGTTTGAAGATAGCTATTCCATGGGGGGGGGGGGGGGTAGAAAAACAAGGGAGGTAATTGTGTTATTATTTCTGGGGTGAATGGTTTTTAAGTGTGAGAATGATACCTATGATCGTATAATAGTGAGTTGACAACCCATTGAGCAAAAAACATACAAATAATTATGTTTTGACTTTCTTAGAAAATATGTAATTCTCGCTAAAATTGCAACCACCATACTGGTTGTTCGAAGCTTAGCCTTGTTTCATCATTTTGAAATTAAATCAAAATATGGCTGACCATCCGATGGCATCGAGAGTTAATTATGGTCTTGTCATGTTAATAAATGTGTAATTAACAGTTTATATAACATTTCAGGCCTTAAGAAAGACCTGCAATAGGCAGATTTAGCTTTTGCATAATGTATATTTTAATAATAATTTATTTAAACATACATTATGCAAGAGTTAAATCTTTCTATTGAAGGTCATTCTTTAGGCCTGAAATGTTATCTAAATTATTAATTAGACATTAATTAACCTATCCAGGCCATAATCAACTCTAGATGGCATTGCTAGCCTGCGATCTTAAGTGGATTGTGAGCTGATTTACTGCATAACTTTCCTTCCCGATTTAACGATTAAATGGATAATCGAGACTACGCATTTTATTGTACTGACTTTAGTAATGATGACCGAGGCTAGGCAGAACTATCAGTCGCTTAGTTCTCGGTTCATAGTGGACCAATCTGAATGAAATTTTCAGCAAATTACCTTTACATTATCTAGTTTTTAACTATTATAGTGAGAACTGTCAACTCGTTACCGAATCTCCCATAATCTATCTTTAACATTTGAAGTTAGATAAATGACCTGCAATAGGCAGATATAGCTCTTACATGTGACATAATACATCTTAAAATATCAGGGTATGTGTAGCTCTTTTATAAAATGGAATTAGAAATGCAATCTTTAAAACAACATCAAATTACTAGCTTTTTACACCATTCAATGTTTTCTGAGCTAAAAATGAATACTCTGAGTTTTTGTCAATTCCATCCATATTTCCTGTTTTTCCTACATTTGAATATTTATTTTACGTTAATTGAGCAAGTTGCTAGTGTTACCACAGAGATATGAAAACAGAAAATAGTCACGATCTTCGATTAGCTATGTTTTGCACATGCTCTATGAATATAATCTACTGCATCCCCTGAAATACAGATTCTACACATGTAATGAATAGAAATTTCTGACATTAATATTTCATGCGCGGCGTTGTCAACCAATTTGCCCTGGTTGTCTGTCCATCTTTCGTCCACAATTTACCAAGATTAATATATCATGGAAGGGTTTGTAAACCAATTAAATTTAAATGTGGTCCTTTGTCCACCATAACCTACGATTAATATATCATGGAAGGGTTTGTCAACCAATTAAATTTAAATGTGGTCCTTTGTCCACCATAACCTAAGATTAATATGGAAGGGTTTTAGTCAACCAATTAAATTTTAATGTGGTTCTTGTATATTGATTGTTATCTCCATTCATCCAAAATTCCAAAGATTCTCTCCTGTAGAAATGAAATGAAACAGGGGTTTAATGTCCTATTTCTCGGCAAAGTCTTCTTCAAATTATAGAGAGAGAGTGAGAGAGAGAAAGAGAGAAGTGGGGTTCAACATCCACTTGACATAAACTAGGTCATTTCGGGACTAACATATGGGTCTACTTTTTTTTTCATTAATCCCGCTCGTAGGGTATTTGACTTTAGCAGTGGGAGGACAATTGAGGACAGGTGACCCTACTCCTAGACACGTACAACCGGGGAATGTCAACCACGCCAGTTGACTCAATGACAGACCTTATGATGCAACCTGCATGCGTTGACCATTCAGCCACCCAACCCCCCTGTTCAAATTAAAACTGTAAAAGGTTCCTTAATGGGAATGCGAATGTGTACACAGTACCTCAGTTTTTGTTTTTTGTCCCATCCAAATGACTAGACATTGTTCCTTGCCAGGCCCTCTCCATCATGCACAACTGACAAGTGAAACCAAGCTGGAAAACCCTGAAGAACATTCTCGGCCAATATCTGGACTGATCAGGGAACCCTGTTAGCGAGTCAACGCCTTACTCACCGATTCACCATCTACAAACGGTCGTTATCTATCAAGAGAAGGGTAAAGCACACCCTGCCTCATACACAACAAACCCTAAAAACTTATAACTGGAGCAAAAATGACAAAAGAGGTTAAAGTATTAGTGCCTACATCCAAAGCATTCCAACAACATTTTTACTTTATAGCATCGTAGTTCAAACTCAGCTGGGCATGAATTAACTCCCCTTTGATGTTATAACTTTGTTACTAGAATCGTAGCAAAGCAATCAGACAGGTAATACTATTAGAGAATAACAGATGTTAGACTTTAGTGGATAGATTGTTTCATATTGGTGCGGGGGGGGGGGGGGGGGGTAATAACTAATAACCTATTTGATCTCTTTAAAGATAGTTTCCCGTATACAAACTGTGTGATTTGATAATATATTTAAACTAAAAACCTATAAAACTAATTAATCTATCAAAAATTGGCCTCAAATCACTCACAAAACTTTGTATTCGCGGAGGAGATACCTCAAGCTATAAATAAACTGTTGTTAGAAAACATGTCAGTTACCTCCCTTCATCGAGGGAGGATTCATTTTATCAGAATGTATTTTTCATTACTTACTGTCCATTACCATACATATTGAGGCCTAGCTAAATTCTTAATTATTTTCCTGTCAACTTCTTTTTCCGCGATTTAATTGCAGAGTCTTTTGTACGTTCACACCCACTCAATGTTCCTAAAATCGCCAAACCATTTAATCAAGAAATAATAACCACTTCCTCAGTCAAACTAGCATACAATAAGCTACAAGACAACAGTCGGGTTGCCAGTTAGAAATACCCTGACATTTTTGCCCAGTGCTTGCCCCATGGGTGCTTTTCGGGTAATCCAGTATTTTTTTTTTTTTAAGATTAGATGTCTATACTTTCCATACATACCAAATTTGCTATACTTTTATCGGAAATAACCACTCGATAAATACTTTCGAGACAATGTATCTTTAAAGATATCATAATAGCATCGCGAACAGAAACGAAACATCAAAAATATCCTTTACTTGTTCTGATTCCCCCAGCATCTATAAAATCCCTGAGGAAATAATTTTGACGTAAAATTCTTTGTATCGTTGTACAACAATAATATTACATTATTTAGTAGATTTTCTCCTGCAAGCATCTCTCATCAAAAAAACATATCAGGTCTGGTAATACACCGAGTAAACCTAATATTAACAAATTATCTTGTATGATGTCCTCTAGCTACAAGAGAGATGCCTGCCGAGCTGACTTTCTACTTTTACTGATAATATTAATACTTCTAATCAACTGGTAAATACAGCCCTCAATGATTCCACCTGATTCCACCAGCCAACAGCCACAGTAGGGGGGAAACAGCTGATAAATTTTACACACAAATTTTATTTAACACAAAAAATTCTTCATTATAAATAATCAAAATTTCTTCACTTGCAATCAGTGAAATGAAATGGGATTAAATATCCTAATTTTGTCCCTCAATGATGCTAATGAATATGACTTACAGTATGTTTTAAATTAAGTCTGGAAAATTCAAGCAACGAAACAGACAGAATAGGAGTGTAACGTCAACTCAACACAAACTTTCAATCACCCACAAGGAGTAGGGTTGCCTGTCCATTAGTCCTGAAATGACCTGGTTTATGTCGAGTGGACGTTAAACCCCATTGCTCTATCTCTTCTACCATTACAAATATTATAGAGAGAGAGAAAAATGGGGTTGAACGTCCACTCGACATAAACTAGGTCATTTCCAGACTAACATATGGATGGTTCAATTTTATTTCAATAATTCGCTTGCATGTAGGGGTCTTTAGCAGTGGGATGAAACTGGAGGACCTACAGAAAACACACCAGTTTGGACAGGTGACCCTACTGCTTGTCACGTACAACCGGGGAATTGAAACCCCGCCAGTTGACTAAATGACAGGCCTTATAAATATAATATGGCGTGCTCGTGCCAACCATTCGGCCATTCAACCGCCCGCAAACAAATGAACAATTATCTTATATTATTTTAATCATTTTTATAATGAATATAATGAAGTATGATAGAGATCCAATTTGAATTTAATTGCTAAAATTTCAGAGAATTCTAGACTGAAAATAACATTCATAAATAATCACTACAAAGAAATGTTTCATACAAGCAGAAAATAATTAGATATTTTTTCTCTACAATTTCCGACCACTTTGGAATAAAAATAACAATGTTTTTTTTTATCATTTTTATTATATATCATGAATATGATGACTACACAAGCAGTTCAAAGAAATGTTTCATCCACGCAAAAGATAATTTTTCTGTAAAATCATGACCAGTTCTTAACTGATCTTATATACATCCCAGAGATCAAAATAACAAACGTTTATTTTTTTATCTGTTTAATAATAATTATGAATATCATTACTAAAAAGAAACAATAATTTGATTTTTTTTCACGACAATTTCCGATAGTTCTGGACTGGTATTCTTCCCAGAGGAAGATGACGGATGATTAGATACAACTGGGGAGAGTTGATTTGATTACATCACGTTTGAGCAATCATGTTTTTATCAAATATCATTCATCTTTATAGTCTTTTCGTCGACTTTAATAGACATTGGCGCCAAATAAATAAAATTACATTGATTTTAGATTTTGTTGTCAAGGTACAAGAGATGTTTGTGTGGTAGTAATAATTATGTTTATTACATTAAAAGCCTGAATGCACCAGGCTTCCAGTGATCAATTTCCTTTCTTAAATTAAACAAAAACAAGAACTTTGAAGTTGTTCTTGGGGGTGTATAGCTCGTTACTGGAGAAGTATTCTGGTGAAGGCGGTCACTGTTCATTAAAAGTCCAATTCCAAATTCATTTCAATATTACTTTATATACAGTTTTAAAAATACATTATTTACAAATTATATACAAGGCATTCGATCTCCTTGTCTGTGTGTCTCTAATTTCATCTGCCCTCTTGTCTGTGTGTAGAGGTCTTTTAAAGTAACTAATTTGTATAAGGACAAAAGGACAATGATTTCAACAAATCAAATTAAAGATAAAAATACTGTAACACATCAAATGAAAAGAAGTTAAATAAATATATAAATTTCATTGGTTGAAAGTTTCATAGTGAAATATAATTTATAGGATCTAATAAGCTTTAAGCCATAAAGAATTAAAAAGCATTGACACTTGATTGGCATTGATCAGACTGCATTGTTAACTGTATAAATCTTTGCTCAAGGTTTCTCTTAATAAGCCTACTGGCATCCAAAGATTATAAAACAGTCAAAGCCAATCATGCTTTTAGGCAATTACTTTTTATAGACTTTAAATCAAAATATTAACACTAAAAGTAAAGAAAGACCAAATGATAACCTTACTATTAGCTATATTGTCTATATACTTTAAGAAATAAATTCTGTATATCCTTAAAATAAAATTTGAAAAAGAAGTAGAATTTCGTATCACTCTTTGGTGATAGTATTCTCTACAAAACATATGGACTTAAAATTAAAAGGTTTATTTATAGCATTCTACACAAAACATGGGCTTAAAAGTGTTCTCTACAAAACATGGGCTTAAACTGTTCTCTACAAAACAAGGGCTTAAAAGTGTTCCCTACAAAACAAGGGCTTAAAAGTGTTCTCTACAAAACATGGGCTTAAAAGTGTTCTCTACAAAACAAGGGCTTAAAAGTGTTCTCTACAAAACAAGGGCCTAAAAGTGTTCTCTACAAAACAAGGGCTTAAAAGTGTTATTTCCATAGTATCTCAACAAAACGTGGACTTAAAATTAAGAGTTAATTATAGCAATCTTGAGAAAACATGGACTAAAAAGTGTTATATCGATAGTATTCTAGACAAAACAAGTGTTTTTGATAGCAATATGACCAATTTACTAAAAGTATACATTCATCATTTTTATCCGCTCACATATATAAAAGTGGTTGTATATAGTTGTCTCCCCTGTATGTCTGTCTCTTCCACAATCTGTGCATCCCCAAGTCCTTGTTTGAAGCTTTGATATCATCTAATATTGTCAATAGTATTTTGTTTCACCTTGGCTAATTATATTATGTGTCTGTCTCTTCCACAGTCTGTACATCCAATGGTAGTTTTGTTTTGTATCGACTAATTATATTTTCTGTTTATTTCCAGGTATGTTTTCACCAACATATTTATAACGTGTACCTGCTGGATCACAGTAGCTGTTACCGTTGAGCGATGTATCTCGCTCTGTTTCTTGATGCATGCCAGGATGACCTGCACCATCCCCCGAGCCAAGCAAGCCATCGTAGTTATCTACGTGGCATCGTTTATCTTCCACTTTTCCAAGTTCTTCGAGTACACGCCTAATATGGACGTGACCTCTCCGCGGAATGTGAATTATACGAGTCTAGTTCTGAATAAGGCATATGAGACTTACGTACATATCAGCACCATAATGTTGGCGGCCATTATTCCTGTATTTCTGCTCATCATCTTTAACAGCTTTTTGATCTTCTTCCTGTCGACACACCGTCGTCGTATGGCCAGAAGATCGTACAACACATCGTCCATGTCCAGCGTTGATATGATGCACATCAGTTTAATTGTGGTTACCATGGTACTAGTATTCATCATCTGTCATTCGATTGGTGTTTTTCTTGCCATGACCATCGCGATAAATGGTCGGCCGGCGGTGTTCGCGAATCCGTTATTCGTGAGTTTTAAATACATAAACAATCTTCTTGTGATGTTCAATTCCAGCATCAACTTCCTCTTGTATTGCGCCATCAGCAAAAAATTCCGCACAACCTTCATGACTGTTTTTTTAGGTAAACTCTTGGGAAAAAAAACTTCGTGGTCCTATAAGTCTTCGGTAACAGAGCAAAGTTTGAGTACAAAAATACCGGTCACGAATTTTGTTTCCCAATCGACGTCAAGTAGCTCAAATAAAAGTGGTGATCATTCGCAGATGTAGAAGAAACGCAAATCTAAGGTGACTTCCGCTTTATTAGCAATAAATTCACCAGTGATCACAATGGTGCCTTGAGGAATTAAGTTTGCACAGATTTTTCTTGCGTTTGTCGGCAAATAGAGATCATAAATAGACAATCAGTGTTAGCAAAGGAAATGACGTTTTGGAGGACTTCTACTTTCAGTTAGCAAACAACAGAAACAGAAGTAATGTCATGTCAAGGCCTAGTGTCATGTCAAGGCCTATAGTCAGAGATATACATTATTGAAGAGCAAACAATGACACAGTATGAAATGAAGGCATTGATATACAACATGTATATCCTGGGTTTGAAACAAATTTTTGTCCTTCGAAAATGACCACCATAAATGCAGAAGGACCACCACAGTGTGTTTAGGTCCTACTAACCATTCAAGCAAAACAAACAGTACTGATAAATTTTGTTCTCCACATGAATTTTATCTCTTTTCTGGATGTACACTACATTCAATAAATGATTAATATTTCTTTTGCCATTCAATTTCTCATTTGAAAGACCTGCGTGTTACTGGAAGGACCGATGTATGCCTCAAGTCGTAACTTGACTTTAGACTGATATAAACTGTTGTCAAGTTTAATAAATGTGTGGAAGTTTTACAAAGTAAATAATGTTTTGACAAGGCACGACATAAGGAAACACCTGCCACATCTTTCATTATAACAGACATCAGTCACTGTTTGTCGACATAATTTGCATAATTACGATATGATACGAACATGCGAGCGAACTTTTTACCTGACCAAGAAAGGGAACAAAGATTAATTTTTATACTCAAATTTTTTACTCTATTTTGATGAAGGAAGATTTTTTTTTTTTAGCTTTAATTCACTATTATTATATTATATGTGTTATTACAGAGTTTTTCTGTAATTTGTAGGATGAGTCTATTTTAAGGCTACTTGGGAAAGATGGCCGGTTAAAGAGGTGAGAAATTCCCAGAGACCAAGTTCCACAACATAAGGGATGATAGGAGTAGGGGCTGGGGGAAGGTAACACAAAATCCAAACTTTATCCAGAATTCCCAATAGATGAATTCTCTGTCTGGAAACGTCCTACCCAACCGGCCTGATCCCCCTCAACCAGCCTGAGAATAGACTCTCTATGTTATATAATTTGGTCTGTACACATGTATATGTATATCTACTGTAATATTTAGAAGAATTTATTATAATATATAGGGCTATATATACTATATAATAATATAGCTTATGTATTAATTATACACAATATCATATACCCAATGTACAGAACGCACCTGGCTGCTTCCGTCATGAATTGTAATTATAGGTATAACACCTGACATGTAGTGTTCATAATAGCTTTAAGCACATCTGTAGGACTAGAAGCAGCTTCATTAAATCGGAGAAACATTTTAAATAAAGTGTTTCTTAATTATACAACTGCAATGAAAATTATGTAAGCTTTTTTATCTGGCTTTGATTGTTAAAGAGACAGTGATAGTGATTAGCTAATCATGTTATACAGCAACATGTTATTATAAAGAGCTCTTACCCACAAGCCTGTAAATAAAGCACCTATCACAGATATTGTCCGACACAATCCACACTTTGTCAAGTACAAAGTCCTACTAGATTGGTCTTTTTTTTCCAAAATTTTGTTCGATATCTTTAATGTTTTGGCATACAATTCAAAATATTTTAAGCAACTATGATACTGTTTTTAATGAGTAGAAAAATTAAAACGGTAGACCTAATTGGATGTTCATTAACACAGAAAATAAAATAACAGTTCTGTTTAAGAAGCATTTAGTAAATAAAATTAAAATAATCACAAGACAATTACTGTATTTTAATTTGAGCTATGTTTCTACAATGATTCGTTTGTTGTTTTCATGCACGGTAGAACATAGCTCTGAATATTGTAAGAGCTTTGTTAATTATACTGTTTAAACAGCATTTAATAATTAAACACATTCAAATAATTACAGCAGGTCTATTTGAGACAATTACTGGATTTAAACAAAGCTACGTCCAAGAGAATCAAGGGGAGTTGGGATCAGTCTACCTGGCTCGTTACCTGTGGCTTGCAGTTGTAGTTTCGATCCTTGATGTGAGCATATGTGGCTTGGAGATACGGGCGCCTTCTCTACCTTGTAAGTTTAACCTGGTCGCCTTCCACAGGAAAGAACCCTGAGGTTTTGCTATTTATAAAAAATATGAGCCCTTCGACTGTGATACCACCCTCAAGAGAAGTTAGTAATTGTCTACTTAGGACTGTTGTTTATATTATTTGAAATCACCCTAGTATTTTTGTTTCGTCAGCCTGTTAGTTTATCTGAAGTCACTATTATTTGTCAGATATTTAATTTATGGCAATAAAAATTATTTTGTTGGTAGTTCAGATATCATTATTCAGCAGATATATATATTTCAGAGAGAGAGAGAAAGAGAGAGAGAGAGAGAGAGATGGGGTTGAACATCCACTTGACACAAAATAGGCAATTGCGGGACTAACATATGGTTTAATTTTATTACAATAATTTGCTTGCACACAGGGGTCTTTAGCAGTGGGAGGAAACTGGAGAACCCGGTGAAACCCACGAGGTTGGAGAAATGGGGTTTAACTTCCACCCAACACAACCTAGGTCATTTCTGGACTAACATATGGTTCAATTTTATTTCAATAATTCGCTTGTGCGTAGGTCTCTGGTAGAAGGAGAAAACCGGAGCACCTGGAGAAAAGATACAAGGTTGGACCGGCGACCCTACTTCTTGTCACGTACATGTGGGGTATGACCTGTTAAACCATTCGGACACCCAAGACTTTCTGCAAACCGCTATATAAAACTTTTTCAGACATCTACAAACTTTCAGTTTCCATGAAGAGAGAGAGAGAGAGAGAAATGGGGTTTAACGTCCACTCGACACAAACTAGGTCATTTCGGGACTAACATATGGTTCAATTGTATTTCCATAATTCACTTGCCCGTAGGGGTCTTTAGCAGTGGGAGGAAACCAGAGGACCCAGAGAAAACCCACGAGGTTGGACAGGCGACCCTACTCCTTGTCACGTACAACCGAGGATTCGAAACCACACCAGTTGACTCAATGACAGACTTTATGATACAGAACGCATGTGCTAACCATTCAGCCATCTAACCCCCCCCAGTTTCCATGAAGGGTTTGTCATAAGTCTCCAAATTCCATGCTCTGTGAGTGCCTTGTGTGATATTCCCAATGTCTCAACTTTTCCCCATTGAACTACGTAAATGCTTCAGTAAACAGGAACGTTTTAAGCTGAGATTTAAATGCATCTAGGGAGTCAGTGGGTTCTAATGTTATAAGGCATTGAATTCCATAAGAGATCGAGGAGCAGAGAACGAGAAAGATCATTTTGCTCTTTCAAGAATGTGTCTCTAGACCTGGAAGAGGTGGCGGAGTAGGAATTATACACAAACCAGAATACACTGTACCTGTATTACACACACACAAATTTGGATCATTTGAGCACATCGAAAACTACTGTGCAATCTAAAAGCTTAACTTATCGCATCATTGTAATCTACCGACCACCGATAAGCAGCAAGTTTGTGAAGAAAACTTGTCATTTGTCATTTAATTTTTATGTTCATAATCCAAATGATTATGCATCCATCAAATTTAAGGATACCATAGACACACTCGGTTTCACTCAACGTGTTAATCAACGAACCCACTCAAAAGGCCATACATTAGACCTAGTATTAACTAGAACGGAAGAATTAGGTATTTCACTATCTACAGAGAGAGAGAGAGAAATGGGATTTAACCTCCACTCGACACAAACTAGGTCATTTCGGGACTAACATATGGTTTTATTTCAACAATTTGCTTGTGCGTAGGGAGGGGTTTTTAGCAGGGGGAGGAAACCGGAGGACCCGTACAAAACCCACAAGGTTGGACAAGCGACCCTACTCCTTGCCACGTACAACCGGGGACTCGAAACCACACCAGTTGACTCCTTGACAGACCTTATGATACAGCGTGCACATGCTAACTATTCGGCCATCCAACTTCCCTACTTTCTGCAGATTTGTTGTGTTGGTGCTCTGAAAATCCAAGCTATGGGTGAATAAAGTTGTCAAACCTCGAATCACTTGTTAAACTATCTGGTTACTAAAATAACACCTGATTACATTTAACAACGTTATCCAGATACAAATAAGGGAAATTATTTAAAATAAATTTATAACGGAGCCTGGAATTTATAAATTTTAAAATACACAACATATCTGCTATTACTAACATTAAAGCTTGATCAATTAGTTTTCCGACTGGCATCCGATTACTTTTTCTTTATGAATTGATATTATGAGAATTAGGTAAAGTCCATTGCTCATGAGTAACCAGGAGTTTGGTTTTTAATGTGGTTGATTATCCAGTTTCTTTGGCCAAGTCAAGTAACAGTTGCGCCCCTTCCCACAATTAATCCCATAATTCTTGCATTAATGTAACCAAAGATGAATCGTGACGACGAATTAGTTATTTTCAAATGTTGACAACGCATCCAGACTAATATTCCTAGAATATTTTTCTGGAGGATAGAGACTAGTTTTTTCTGCAGGTTTGTCCAGGACTTACAAATCTATTAATTTCAAAATCAGAATTTTCTTTTTTTTTTCGTGAGTTTTAATTACACTATAATTTGTTGTAACACAGGCTGCCATTGTTTTCCTACCAGTACCAGAGAATCAGCTATTCATCACTTTTCTTGATCAGACCTCGTTAAAAAATAACGAGCCTACTTTTACTACGTAATTAACCCTGGTTAGAATGTGTAAACTCAGAATGTACTGGATTACACGAGCCCAGACACTGTTGTCTCTCACGGTGCCAAAAATAAATAAAGTTAAAATAAACATCTTTCTGGCAAAGTGGCAATCTGCAACATTTCAGTTCCTTCAGATCGTAATAAATGGTTTATTGTCATTGGTTGGCAACCCAGCTCTCAATAAATTTTAATGATGCATTATTTAAGATTTATAAAAAAAACTGGTCATTCTCGCTATAATAGTTCAAAGGTAGATAATTAAAATTGTATATATTGAAAATTTCATTCCAATTACATTATTCTGGTCGAAGTTATGACTGTTTAAAGCTATATCGTAGATCGTTTATTATCATAGCAACGGTAGTTGACAACCGAGACTTGGCCCCGATATTATATTTTATATTTTGAAATCTCAAGGATGTTCAAATCCATTTAAATCTCTGACATCTGATAATGTAGACAGTTGAAGATCTGTAGAGAGAGAGAGAGAGAGAGAGAGAGAGAGCGCGCGAGAGATGGGGTTTAACGCCCACTTGACACAAAGTAGGTCATTTCGGGACTAACACATGCTTCAATTTTATTTCAATAATTTGCTTGCATGTAGGGGTCAACCAGTACCAGGATCGAACCTGGGACCTACTAATTAGTGAGTAAGCTCCTTTACTTCTCGAGATAATGTGAAACACTCAGGGGTTTCTTAAACTACTTTTCTTGTTGAAGCGCAACACAGAAACATCAACATTTGCTGCGTTGCTTGTATTTAGGAGTGGAAGAGAAACAAGGAGATTGTACAGGCGACCCTACTACTTGTCACGTGCAATGTTGTGATTGAAACAACACCACTGATCGACTTTGAGTTAAGATAACTAGACCACCCATCCCCTCCAGTGGGTAATTCTCGAACTTACAGATGATTCTATTTTATTTCAAAAATTTGGTTGCGTTAGGGGTTTAGCAGAGGGAGAAAACCGGGGTCCTGGTAAAAACCCACGAGGTTTGACAGGCAAACCTTCTCCTTGTCACCTATAAGCGGGGAATCGATGTGACTCCACTTGATTCAATGACAAACCTTATGATCCAGTGTGTCGCATTACCACCCAACCCCTCCACTAATAAACATTGCTTAATATAGTGTAATGGTAATCTGAACTGATCCAGGGTGCAAACATTAACCATTCCACCACCCAACCCCTCCACTAATAAACATTGCTTAATATAGTGTAATGGTAATCTGAACTGATCCAGGGTGCAAACATTAACCATTCCACCACCCAACCCCTCCAGTGTAAAAATAGCTTAATATAGTGTAATGGTAATCTGAACTGATCCAGGGTGCAAACATTAACCATTCCACCAACCAACCCCTCCAGTGTAAACATAGCTTAATATAGTGTATTGGTAATCTGAACTGATCCAGGGTGCAAACATTAACCATTCCACCACCCAACCCCTCCAGTGTAAAAATAGCTTAATATAGTGTAATGGTAATGTGAACGGATCCAGGGTGCAAACATTAACCATTCCACCAACCAACCCCTCCAGTGTAAACATAGCTTAATATAGTGTAATGGTAATCTGAACGGATCAATAAAACCAGTGTATAAGCTTATTTTTAAACACAGTGGTGTATACACTATAACACCATTACTAACAGTTCTCAGAAAACAGCAATATAGCCTAATATAGTGTAATGGTAATGTGAACTGATCCTGGGTGCAACATTAACCATTCCACCACCTATCCCCTCAAGTGTAAACATAGCTTAATATATAGTGTAATGGTAATCTCAACTGATCAATAAAACCAGTGTATATTTTTAAACACAGTGGTGTATACACTATAACACCATTACTAACAGTTCTCAGAAATAGCAAGACGTATTTTATCTGTGTTTACTTGACAGCTTTATCGTGGGCTTTAAAACTTCATGGCAAATAGTCAAAAAAACTTCTCAACATTATAAATAAAATCCTGGAAAATCCTGATGAACTTTCTCTGTCAATACTAGAGTCGATTGAACATGGGACCTCCAGGTTAGTGAGTCAATACTAGAGTCGATCGAACATGGGACCTCCACATTAGTGAGTCAATGTCTTACTTAATGAGCCATCGGGACTCTGTAAGTTTTAGATAAAGAGCTGACTGTTCTTGTTATAATAGTTATATTAAAGATACATTATAAAGAGATGGTCGTTCCTGTTATAAGAGTTATATTAAAGATACATTATGTAAGATTTAGATAAAGAGCTGGACGTTCTTGCTATACTATAAGAGCTCAAAAAAAGAAAATTAAAAATGGATGTATTGGGAATTTCAGTCAAATTACTTTGTTCTCAGATTTAGTCTAAAAAGAGAGAGAGAGAGGGAGAGAGAGAGAAAGAGAGAGAGGGAGAGAGAGAGAGAAGAGAGAGAGAGAGAGAGAGAGAGAGAGAGAGATGGGGTTTAACATCCACTCGACACAAACTAGGTCATTTCACTTTCAGGACTTACATATGGTTTAATTTTATTTCAATAATTCGCTTGCATGTAGGGGTCTTTAGCAGTGGGAGGAAACCAGAGGACCTGGTGAAAACCCACAAGGCTGGA